CGGGAGCCCCCCGGGCTGGGCCGGAGCCGGGTCCCTGGGCTCGGTGGGGGACGATGGGGAAGAGAAAAAGGCTAAACCAGAGGATGGCAGTGACAAGAAAAGCCAGTTTAGTGTTGGATTCGCTCCCTCCTTTCTCTCAGCAGCTCTCCCTGGCCCCAGCAACACCACTATTTGCAGAACGAAGCCTGGTGCTATTTAAAGCTTTTAGTGCTCTCGGAGAAGAGTGTTGACAGCTGGACCAGGAGCATGTGCCTGTGGCACCCTGGTTTAGGGAGGATTTCTGGAGGCTCAACCAGCCCTCAAGCGTGTGGCCTCCAGAAATCCCTGCAGGCAGGTGGCTTTGCCCATTTGCAGGAAGGGGCAGAGACACCCCCCCTGCTCCCACAGCACCATCTCCAAAACCCCAGGGAACAGAAGAGAGGGATCTGCCCTGGTGCCAGCAGTGCCCCAGGCTGTCCCAGCTCACTGGGCTCCCAACAGGGCAGCAGCAATGGCAGCACAGCTCCCAGGGCTTGGGTACTGGCACCGCCAGCTCCCAGCATGGGGCTGAGCCTCTACACCCCCAGCAGCCCTTGCTCCTGCATGGCCGTGCCTGGGACCCACTGCCATCCACATGCCCCAGCAGTCCCCTCCCTGTCCCTCTCTTGGCACTGATCACTTTGGGAAGAGGTACCTGTGCTTTGAAAAACTCCCCACATTTTGCTAAACTGATGAAGCACAATAACCCTGGGACACAGGAACATGAGGAAGCCCAGCCCTGCCCTTTAACGTGCTTATTTGCAATGAGTTTGTCTCAGTGCCAGCAAGGTTTGCCCTCACACAGTTCATGTGCTGTAACACAGAGCAGTATTCCTGCTTACAGCAGGGGAGGTGGGAAGGGAAAGATCCTTTCCACACTCTGTTCTCACGCCAGGGTCCTGATGGACTGGCTGGAGGGACCTTGACCTCATTTATGGACAGTCCCAGCTGTCCATGGCAGCTCTCACAGCACAGTGGTGACTGCAGATGATCCCCTGGATGCACTCTGTGGTGTCCCTGAGCCTGGAGAGCCTGGAGTGGGGTTTCCGTTTAACTCTGGGAATGGTGAGCTTGGGGTCAGCCACTTCCATCTGGCACCAGCCCAAGGAAGGCTCAGTGACCACCACTGCTGTCACGCAAGCACCAGGAAGGACAGAGCCAGGGAGAGGTGCAACACAAGGGCCCTGGTGAGTGCTCTCCAGCCCTGAGCTCACTGTGTGCTCTCCTGCTCTGAACATTTTTGCTTTTTCTGGCAAGAGCCCCAGCACAGTGTTTAAGGGTCACTGGCTCAGCAATGAGGAACGATAGCACACGGCTCCAGTGCAGTGCTGGGGGGGCAGTGCCTGCCCCAGCACACAGCCCTGCCTGGGCCAGGAGGCAGCACAGGGCCCAATGGCATTAGACACCCTCTTTGTCACCGAATTTACTGCTGGTGTCTCCAATTTGTCACCAGTTGCAGGGTGGTAAAGCCACCCTGAGGGCTGCCCTCAGCCTGGCTGAGGCACAGAACCATCCCTGGCATTCTCCTGACCCAGCAGTGCTCATTTGGGGTGGGGGCACTCAGACAAAAACCCTGCTGACAGACCCATGTATCCCAGAAAGCAGAGATGAGCCCTGGGCTTTGCTCCAGCACCAGGTGCCATGAACTGAGGCTGGCACAGCTCTGAGCCCAGCATGGCCACAGCACCCAGAGCCGTGCCAGCCACACAAGGGGGGATGGAGCAGATTGA